TAATCTGTAATCTATTTATTTAAGTTTTATTCTTTACACAATTGAACTGAAACTATTTTAAAGACATTTTAATTAATCAATCAATAATTTATATAATTAGTTAGAAACATAAATAATTGAGACATTATAATCATATGTTAACACCATTTAACCAATTTTTGTTTGTTTGTTTTTTTTTTTATAGGTTTTTAATATAAATAAATAAGGTTAATAGGTATGATGTTGTTAAGCAGGTGTAAGTTAATTCAATGTATATCACTACCGATTATGCAAGATGTACATTTATATATAAAATGAATTACCTGTATGAATGATACTAAAATTTATTTAATTGATAGACCCATATGGTTATATTATAAAGCTTATGAATTATAGAAATCCTATTTCTAGGATGAATTCAATATTTCTTGTGTTTGTTTTGTTTTTGTTTTTTCACAAACAAAAGAATGCATATGCATATACAAAAACTACTTAACTCCAACAAATGAGATCTAATGATACACATATTTCCTTAATCTCTTTTTCTCTCTCTCTTTCTCTTTAAATAAACATAGATTTGCTTCCATTTAAAAGATCGTCTCTATTTATTTTAAACTATAAAAAATAATAATAAATAGTTCTTTATTATTTAATTATCAATCTGTTCAAATTTCATTTTGATTAATTTACCCAATAAAATTAAAAGGAAATTATTTAAAATTATGTAACTATGACAACAAATAAACATTATAATCTATAAGTAGCTTAGATATTAGAAGAGATGTTTGTTTAAATTAAAACTATTGATTCATAATATGAAGATTGATCAAAATTTCGATTATGATAGATTTTATTAAAAGTAGAATAGAAGTGATCTGTTTAAATAATCAATATATATGTGAACATTGGTTCATTTCTCATAATGTAAGTGTGTTTTTTTTGTTGGAGGAACTGTTAGCTTAATCAATATTAAGACACAATTCCATGAGTGTAATAATCATTGAGAATCTTAGATAAGATTCATTAAAAACCTTTATGACTACAAGCTTGTAATATGGGTTTTTTCAACGATCTGTTGATATAAATATCTACACGATCGAATTCTTATGATCATTTTGATCAATTTTTTAACATAGACGAATACCAGCCAGATGAAAGATTTATGTTTGTCGGATGTCGTTAAATAGTTTGTAATAAAGGTTTCTTATTAACAAATGTCAAATGGCATGAAACCTGTACTTATGGCTTCCTCCCATATATCTCCAACCAATATACATTTTAAAAAATGACACTACAATGTAATCATATAACCTAGCTACTACATTTTAAGTTGACTGAAAGATTTTGATTGTCACTAAATGTCATACACAATATTATTGGTTATTACTAAGTTGCAAGTTTGTGTAAATAAATTACCTCTGTAGAAGGTCAATCAAATGGAAATATCTCTGTGAAATTGAATAACATAGTTTCGAATTACATGACAACCATCAGTTATTTTGAGAGTACAGATGTCTGACTGAAAAGTTCCAAGTAGAACGATAAGTTGGTTGTTAGGCTACTTTATCCAGCCACTAAGGATAGAAACAAATCATTTAAACCAAGTTGTTTGTACATGCAAATATATCACTCTCTCAACACTGGGAATCATATCGGTAATTATTTTATCACCTATAAATAATCATCATACAGTATTCTCTTTAACTGTTTTCGAAAAGAATCTTATTTTTAAGTGTCAACTCCTGTTAATTTTAGATTGGTTTACCTTTCTTTTGTGTTACACTCTTCAATAACTTCTAACACAATCCCTTCCTTTAATAAAAAAGAATTAGTAACATTTAATGGACTATTATAAAAAATATCTTAAAAAGTGCAGACAAGAAAGGATGTATTTGTTTATATTAGTTGATAAAGGTCGATATTTATAAAATTCTTAATTTCCACTTTATAGATGATGTTTACTATTCATGTGTAGATATGCATCTAGTTTTAAAAGAATCAGATGTTTTTTTCCTAAATTAAAAATATTTGATCTGTGAAGTAAACAAACAAAATCTCAAAAAAGCAAGCCTCACATAATGCCTGGTTTTTATTAAACAAGTAGAATCACAATAAGAGGTATATATATTAAGCAAAAATGGACAGTGGCTAGTAGTGAAATCCACGACACGTGTTTTATCCTATTTGAGACTTGTCAGATGGATGTACCTGCATCTTAGAGTTGATGTTCACTCCAGGATTCAAGCCGATCACGTTATCCACTTAGCTACCGAGTCCTGATAGTCACTTGCTTGTGCAATCACCAAAAGGTAATTATAATTTCTCCTTATTTAAGATTACGTTTTTTAGGGATTTTTCCAAATTAATTATTTCTTTTAACAAAGATGTCCATTCTACATCGATCTCCGACCCAAATGATTGCTCTGGAATTAATTTTCACAATCCATTTTTTGCATAGTTCAGTTAAGTTACTTTAGGGTTTACATGAAGATTATGATTGAACCTAGAGGGGAATTTTTGGTTATTGAGGAAAAATAAGAGATATTTTGATGAATGAACTGGCCGCACTACTGAATATCCTAACAAGCCGAACTGTCTCATGTACAATGACTTCTAATTAAGTCACAGGAGAGTAATTAACATACAGTAAATAATCTGGTTTAAACTACGGTTTTGTGGAATTCTTTCACAAATGTGACCAATATTTTGCTAATGATTACATTACTTAGGTGGTAATATATCATAAAATTCATATATACGCAAAAATGGAATAGTGAAATAAAAATAAGTTAGTTATAGAACTATGTATGCTTACATCATTGTTTGAACATCCAATAGCATATGCCCCCTCAAGGAGCAAAACAATTTCACGAATTTATGACATTTAGGATTATGATAAAGGTATTAAGTTTCGTTAAGTCTTTGTTTATTCGCTGTTCATTGAATGCTAACAATCTTTACAATAATTTCTTACCATAAACCATGAATTATTAAACTGTTCAAATCCATTTCAGGATTTAATTAGCTTTAAATGTTTCGGAATACTAGAGAAAACCAATTCAGATAAATGCTGTATGCATTTGGCTTAAGCTCTGTAATACTAATCCATAATTAGGAACTTTTTCATCATAAACGATATCCCGTGCGCGGAATCGTGGGTGCGCACTGATGAGGAGCCCCATGCTAGCACGAAATAGCCATCCAGTGCTTCTAAGTTTTCAGTGATGGTCTAGCTTATATCGACGATAAATTCAACTGTTAAGAGGCTACAATCTCCATAAATCCCCATGCAGATTTCATCATAACTATGACTTCAACAATTTACGTCACTCATCCGTTCATTTTATTATTAGGATATCATTTCATTGTCTAATATTATTTACAGTTTGAGGTTGTGAAGATTGTTTTATTCCGCTGAAACCATGAACTGATCAGTATCAGACCAACATTGGAAGCCGAGAGGTAATTGCCGGCCGTTTTTTTCCTAATATAGAACTCCTCAGTAATGCCCATCCACAATCCCGCATGTGGGATTTAAACCCAACATCTTTGGCTTCACGCGCGAACGTTTAATTTTTGAATCACTGAGCTGGCATCGAACTTTATTAATGTCTAACTTCAACCACTCCACAATGTTGAGAGGCCATCTTCTTTATTTTGGTGTGTAACTGCCTCTCATTCGACATGGTTGAACTCTAATAGTCATGGCTTCTCATGATTTCAAAGTAATATTATTTAATTGAAAAATATGAACTAAATCAAATCAAAGATCATTCTTATTGTTAAAATTTAGAATCAAATCTTATCAATAGCATTCTACGTCATTGTATGATATATTTAACAAGAAAATAAACTATTTATTTAAAACAAAAATAAGAAATTGACATTTAAGATTGGTATTTATGGGAAATTAGTGTGTATTGTATCCTTTTTGAATATTCTGTTCATCTTATGAAACGTAAGGGGAATAAGTCTTTAAAATTGACTTCATTATAAAAAGGATTTACGAAAATAAATGTTATTTGTTTATTATAAAATCAAATATGTATATAACATGTTTACATATCAACAGTGGAAAAGTTGAGCAGTAAAAAACTTACCATTATCACAGTGGAACTATGTTCTTATTCAATAGTAAAATCTATTATGAAATAGTTGTTTATCCTAAAACTGACCCACTATTTGAAATTGACTGAGTTTTTAAAGCTCAAAGATTCAGTCACTTCAATTGCCTACAACGATTGTATAGAACATTAAGACTATAATACAACCATGTTACAACGACTAATGAATTAATGAGTCTTGAAGTAGGAAATTTGTAAATAAGCTATTTTTTAATTCGGATCATCTGGTAGATAGCTTTAAATGAGACAGATCTACAGACAGCACTATTAAGATGTCAAATCGCAATCAGTGTATTTTTCTATTAACTATTAATCATATACTATTACTAGCAGATTAATTAGTTAGTTGCTTTAATTCATTAATATAGCGTTGATATGATGCAACAAAATCCCCATATCTATTTAGATTGGAATTAATCAGTCAAGTAATTGGATTGAAACCTTTTAGTAAATATAACTAAATGTGTATAAACTATTTAAACTACAATAAACTTGGTGAAGGGTGATTTATTGATTGAGACGTTTGACTTTTGCTCTTTAATGTGTAAATTCTAATCTACTTGTATTTGAGTAGTTGAATAGTACCATAAACCGTTGCAATAAATATCCATGTCATAATTCAGCTATGTCCTTAATGAATTCAACTGAAACCAACTTAGTTGAATTCAGTAGGTTGTAGAAAAAAGAACTAATTAAGAACATTACAATTGTTTCATGTTTATTATGCTTTTTTTAAAAACATTACTTATGTTATTCAGAAATTATCAGTAATCATATCAAAATAATGAATTTCATATGAACACTTGATGTAATTTTAACTCCTACATATTATTTGAAACTTTAAATTGATATGCGTGATACTAAAGAGAAATGATGATCATTAACATATAGACTTACTTGTTTTTTGACATGTGAAATGATAATCATGACAACAATCTCCAGTAATGACACAACTTTCATCACAATAACAACGATCACGTGGACTTGAATGACCAGCTACACTACGATATTTCTTCCATGGATAATATCTAGATATTGAAGATTGTCCAGTTGATTTGTAAACAAAACATTTCTTCTCTCGACCGGCACAACATATAGACATTCCATTAGGTTGAAGGCATCCATTTGAAATAACTAATGAGATTTGATTGATTGTAATATAAAATAAAAATAATATGACCCAGTGAAAAAACTTCGAATTAAATTGAATATTTAATCGGTTTTGAACTGACCGAATCATTTTTTTTTGTTTATATATGAAAATGAGTATTTATAATTCACAAGATAGCAACAACAAAAAATATTGAAAAGATTGTAATGAATGAACTGGATTTCTAATGACTAGTAATTATTTTTGTATAGTAGGAATTCTATAATAAGTTTGTGCTGCCTGTTATTTGCATATAATAAATAAGTTTTAACAAGTGGACATGTAGTCATGTATTTAAATTGTATTTTCAGGAGGAAAAATTACTGAGTTATATTTTAATTTCAGGGTAGTTAAAAGAAAAATTCTTTTTTTCTATTGTCTGATAACCGTATCCAGGTCTTATATACTGGTGGCCTGTCGACTCTACACCATTCCAATGTACTGTTGTCCCAATCTACATATGTATGTATGTATATATATATGAAGTAAGGCACAAGATCCGGTAATATGCAAACAAAATGCTTTTGGTTATATAAATATGCACACACTAAACATCCATTTGGTGCTCAGGCCTAGACATTGATAGAAATGATGCTAATGTTTGTACAATTTTGCACGTATGTAATCCGATTAACTTCCTCTACGCAACAGTATGATTGGTTAATTTCAATAGAAGTAGTAGGCGAAACACCTGACCTTCTCTTGACCCCATACAAATGACCATCCCAAAAGACCATAAAAACAACAAGGTTTTGATTACAGCAGACTAACAAAATAAATGAAAAGGGTTAAGGTCAATCGTTATTTTCAACACTTGGATGAAGTAACTTACACTAGCTGTTTCGGTCCAATGATTAGGACATTTGGTAAAAAAAAATATAGCATTAATCTGATAGATATATATGAGTGTATGAAAAAATGCATACAAATTGTATTTTTTACAGACACTGTCCTTAATATTGTACCATGACAAACAATGTAAACAGGAAGACTGTGATCTACTGACTACTATTACATAACGGCATGTTTTACTGACTAGGAAGTTCTTTGTTTCCCTTATCGGCATTGAATTGGTTTATCAGTTAGTCAAATATGTAAATAAAACTGGTAAAAAACCGTGGACTATGGTATGATGACGAATAAATTAATTGTTGAAAGAAATTAATTTTAACGAGAAATAGAAATGAAAAGGGAAAGGACTGTTAGATTACTTCTTTAGTACTATATGTACAGAAATATCCTGATGCAATAGAATATTTTTAGTGCAGTTGAATAACACTGAAGAATGTGTTTTCAACAGTTATATACCTTGGTTTTCAGAGTATATAAGTTAGTTTCGTATTTCTTAAGGGACTTTATTAATGATTGTATTTCGTCTCGGAGAAGAATGGAAATACATATGGAAGTTAGGTGAATACAATTAATTAAATAGCTCGAAAATTAGCCAAGTAATATTATTCAAATCGACATTCCTTTCAAAACTATTGGATTCAAGTATCTAAATTTCATGTTGACCAGAAACTAAATAAATGGTCATAATTCGGTTATTTATTTACCTTGAAAAAGTAGCTTACATAAAGTCACTAAACGTCAGAAATACAAATTTTCTACTCATTGGGATATAACAAAACCATATATTGATTATTTACTTTATACCCAATGCTCAATTTATTTAAAACTATCAAGTCTACCTTTGGTATTGGTACCTATAAATAAATTAGGACAATTTCAACAGTTGAAATCATGAGTCAATTGAAGCTATACCACCATGGATCACCGGACGGCCATTTCGTCTTATTGTGGGACTACTCAGCAGTGCGCATCCACTACCCTGCCTCGCGGGATTCGAACCCAGGACCTACCAGTCTCGCACCAGGCGCTTAACCAACTAGACCACTGAGCCGGCATCCAACGGTGTGAATATCTAACTTCAACCAATCCATGAAATTGAGCGACACATCCACCATTGTCATCAGTGAGTTACTACCTCACACCTGACATGGTTGAACTCCACTGGTCATTGCTTCTCATTAGAACTCCAGGATATACCTCTTGAAGCCAGTTACTAGTGAGTATATGTTGATTAGTATCAGAAGGGGTTTTGTGGAGATTGTAGTAATTTCAACAAATGAGATCATGATAACTTCAGTAAACAAAGATGATACTGAGGATTCTTTACCTTCTTCTGTGAAGTTATGAAATCATTAAAAGTATAGAAAAACAGTTTTACATCAGAATGAATTCATTAGTAACTAAAAATAAAGAAGTTGCTTTGTTTTCGTACAAAGAACTTTCAAGCAATTCATATCTATGAATTATATGCTATTCATATGACAGTTTGACTTTCTAATAATTTTCTTAATACATATATAAGTATTCATCTGAGTATTCTTTTTGTATTTTGTTAGTATGGATAATCTACCTATTTCTATAATATGTCAATACTATTTTATTCAAGTGTAATTCGTAATGTTTAATAATCGCTTTGCTTATTACACATTACCAACTTAAACTATAGTGTAAATATTATTTATAGTTACTTGTGATGATTTTGTAGGATCATGAAATATACTCAGCTTCATATTTCAGAAGTAATAATATCAGTAAAGAAACCTTTACTAAGCTAAATAATTTGGTGAAGAATTTACTATGTGCCGAAAGTATTATTCATCACTGACTACTATTAGCCAGTTTCATGTTCGCTATAGTCTTAAAATTACAGCTTTAAATCTCTTGTGTTATAAGTATGTACTGTCTAGAAGCTTCAGGCTAAAACAAAATACATTTAAATTGATCCATGACTTTCAGCAGTTATCCAGATAATGTTAATTCATGACGAAATTTGTCTTAGAAGGAAATCTTTGAAATATACTGATGAAAATATTTGACTTACTGCAACTTTAGCTTGAATTTCACAAATACCACTAAAATTGCAAAGTTCGAATACCTCCAATTCATATACAAAATTATATTGAAGGGACTCTTGTAGACTTTGCTCCATAAACGAATATTATTTAGATAATAATTACATAACTAGTCTAAGACAGTAGGTAGATGACAACAATCAACAATGCAGATAGATTTAATTTTCCATTCACCACTAACAACAGTTAAAAGTCATTAAAACGTATTCACTTACACAATAGACATTGTTACTATGTGATAATGAATAAGTATAATAACTTGGCAAATAATCAGTTGCTTAGTAATCTTCCAAGACATTCTGATCAGTTTAAGTAACGTTATAAATTTAAGAAAACGATTATTTTGTCTAAGTGATTTGAATTGAACTGGGGTATTTTACTTATTGAAATGAAACTGAAACGTTCAAAATATTATCAATGTATTGAACAATTGTATCTATAATCATTGTGAAGATTAAATGTTTTAAAGTGAGATGAGAATAGTTATATTTTACAGCTACTATTACTAATGAAATCAAGCAAAATCTAATGGACCACAATACTGGATTACAATCATTTAATCAACTAAATACTTGTTCACATGAATAATAAAATCACATGGCGGGATCGTGGATGCGCACTGCTGAGAAGTCCTATACTAGGACGAAACGGCTGTCCATTGCTTTCAGGTTTTCCATGGTGGTCTAGTTCCAATTGATTCATGAATTCAATGATAAAATCGTGCCAAGTACATTATTAGACTATATTTCCAAGCTTTCAACTAAAGATGTAAACATTAATAATTCCTTTACAAAAAAAAATATGTAAATTATTCCAAATACTTTGTTGACAAAAATTATTCGATAAAACTTAATTGTTATTTCATGTATTTTTAAATGTTAATTCATTATTGTTTATTCACTATACCATAAATGTATTTAAATGAAATGACTAATTAAAATAAATACTATCAAAAATATTCTTAGGCTTTTAAATATCTTAAATGGAAGATAAAGTTTTACAGTGTTTCTTCGGATGTAATTCTTTATCATTTTCTTGTTAACAGTAATGAATATGGTTCTAAGAAAGTTTACACTATGGACAAACTTGAACTATATAACTAAGAGCATAACTCTACAAAGCATTGGATTCAAGAGCAAGTACAATAAATATTTAAAGAGATTAATCTAAATTGAATTTTTTACATTTCCATATTAATTCAGTTTACGATATTTCAGAATGAATTTAAAACAAAGCCTAGGCATCTGTCAAGTTCAGATTAGTTTATTATAGATCTCTACCTCAGTATTGGTTTGTGAAGATCATTAAGTTTTTTGATTGAGATCATGAACCGATTGATGCTAGAGCACCATTGAAAACCTGGAAGCATTATACGCCCGTTTCGTCCTCAGCAGTGTTCATCCAAGATCCCGCCCACGTGATTCAAACCCACCACCTTTAGTCTCACGTGCAAATGCTTAACCTCTAGACCAATGAGTCGGCAACAGTGTTATTATCTAACCGTCCATTGCTTCCAGGTTTTCAGTGATGGTCTAACATTAATCAGTTCACGATCTCAACCAAAAAGATATCTAAGTGTTTTAATCTACAATACATACTAACTTGAAACCTTAGCATATACTAAAGAATCCCAAAATAGAACGATAAATAATTTTTCTTTAATGTTTATTCATCTTTCATATTCAGATAATATAAAGTAATTTTTTACATGATACCGAAATCACTAATCCTTATATCCAATTCTTAACTTTGTTATATAAATGAATAACATTATTCTGTTGTTGTTTTATAAAATAGATCTGGAGAATAAACAAACTAGCATCAAACTACTTTGAACTGATACTACTTATTTAAATATTTTTTTTATTTTAAATGTTTTAAATCAAAATAATAAATATTCAATTAAAACTAATAAATGATATTTTTATTCATATAATTTTGTATTTTACATTGCACAAAAACAATACTAAACCAGACTGTAAACTTTTGATGTGACATTTTATAAAAGTATGTCAGGTGGAAAAAAAACCTAATCAAACAACAGATATAATAAGTAGTGAAATTATACTGTTAAAATTTTAGGTTGTGTTATTGAGTTAGTATACACAATTAAATTTACCACTATCAGTTAGATTTGTTTAAAATTAACAAACAATATTGAAACATTGAATCTTTAGTCTGTTTGTTTGATTAAACTGTTATTTCATTGTTGATATAATTATACATATATATATTCCTTCTAATACTACTCTACTACTACTAACTATACTACTAAAGTAGTTTGATTTCATATTAAACTGTCCATAATCTTTTAATCATTTGTTAAGTGACTTAGTAGTTACCTCCTGTTGCTCCACTGATTGTATGATACATTGTTAGAACAATCAAAATTTGTTTATTTATAATTCAAAATAATCAGACATGTACAAGATTGTATTTATTATTCTTTATTCATTTTGATAAATGTAAAAAAAGTCATCATACATAAAGAAAACTGAAGTCTTTACTTTAATGTTTGTCACTTTTAAATTGTGTTTATTAAATTCAATAGTTTCAATTTTCTTAGCATCAAAAATATGTATGAATTTTTTAAAACAAAGTGATTCTTTTGCTTTCATTAAAATAAAATTTTTTTCCATTGGTTTAAATCAGATGTTTGTTTGACATTTGAGTCAAGTACATTTGATTATTGATTGTCCATAGTATAAACATATAAATAATGTCAGTAGTTGAAATCATGAGTCAATTAAAGCTAGACAACCATGGAAAACCTGAAAGTACTGGACGACCGTTTCGTCCTAGTATGAGACTACTCAGTACTAATGTTAATGAAGTTTTAAGATTTCGATTTCTTTTCCAACTGATAAAAAAATGATTAATATATAGCATTTTAAACTAATATCATGAATAGATCAATGTTAGACCAACATTGGAAACTTGAGACTATTCAGAAATGGACATTTCATGATCCTGCATGCAGGATTCGAAACTAGAATCTTCGGTTTCACGCGCAAATGTTCGACTTCTAGACCACTGAACCGGTATTCAATGGTGTTCAGGTCTAAGTTCAATAAATCTGCACATAACTTTAAGGTTTGTTTTTGCAAACATGTATTATTAATTGAATATAATCAAGTTGTTACAACAATCATTACCAATAGTACACTTTATTAGTTATTGTTTTCAACTGAAATTATAGAATATTCACCTTGTAATCTTGTATTTTGTAGTAGCAGGAAAAGATCAATAACCTATTCAAACTTCTCAGGTTGATTAAGATGATTTGCATATTTAATAGCTGTTTATTGCATGAAATAAATATATGAAATAATCACGCATGAACTTATGCTTAGATTCAGTTATCACTTAGTTTCAGTTTTAGTTTAAGTAATTAACAACTTTGTAATAGCATTACACATGAACATATATCCTAAGTCCTTGAAATTGAGAGAGTTAGAGAATGATCTATCCTCTTTGCTATTTGTGGCTAGAAATATATAAAATTAAGTAGTCTATGAAAGAAGTCAATCATTAGGATGATGTATGAATATCACAAATATACTTATCATTTATAAAGAGAAATATTGTGATTGTGAAAGAATAATATAATTAGTATTGTAGTCTCTTTTATACGGTCATTTGCCTTACTTCATAGTTATTATTTTATTTTATTTGAACACATAAATATTCGTACGAGAGGGCACCAAATACATATGCGCCACACAAAACAATCAGAATTTGAAGAGAAGAAAGAAAAGAAAAAATGGGTAAGGAGCGTAAAAAAAGTAACGTGCAGATTAATGTAAGGTAGTGTAATAATAATAATGGGAGAAACGAATAGTCACAATCAGAAGAAATCTTTCAGTTGAGGAAGAAACAACCACTTTTTATGAAGAAAGTAAAAGAAGGTAACAGCACGATCGTCACTGGCTTCTATTCTGAGCCATATCTGATAACGCCTCTAGCCACTGTGTCGCACCATCTCTCGGACCCCAACCAGGGAGTCATGAAGGACCAACAGAAGCCAGCGCTTCGCAGAATTCTTACATACCACGACACCATGTCATACACTGACTACCTCTCCGCTTCTTCCAACCAGTCCCAGAGTCAGCAAATAATGCACGACGTGGAATTCTCTGGGACAACATTCGGAGAACATATCCAAGCCACCGAAGTCGGTGTTTCAAGATGGTGACACCAATTGCATTATCGTCTCTGTGTCCGAACACGCGATACCGAACCTCTGCATTACTGACATGGTGTTGTCACTGGATGTCAGTAATCCTTCGGAGACAGCGATGATCGAACACAGAGAGTCGTCTAACATCAACTCGGAGAGGCCTTTACTTCATAGTAGTAGTAGATAACAAATTTAGATTTTGAAAAATGCCTATGAGCATTGTTTTTACTTATTTTAGAACGAAAAGAAATAGATCAGTGATTTCTCTGTTAGATCTACTAGTATAAACTAAAGTTTTCTCCAGAAAAAAAGGAACAGAATCATAATGTATTCCAAATGATTTTCTTGAGTAAAACAATATAGAGAAAAGTGTAAGATGACATTGAAATGGTATTGCATAGCATAACAACTGACTAAAATAGTTTTAAGAAGTCCTGAAAAAGTTATATTCAAGATATATTACATAGTTATTCAGGTAAGCTTTGGAGTAAACTAGTGTGCTAGAAAATTAATTTTATATTCAAAGATACTTACTGAGTAGATAGTGACTTAATTATCAGATTTATTAAGCGTGTATTCCTAAGTTACTTTCCAAATTATGACACAAGAACTGATCTTATTTATGATTGTCTAACCTAACACTCAATTTATATGATTACACATATATGTTTCGAAAGTGATTTTGTTCATAATGATCATGAAAATCATTTAATTAAATTGTTCAACTAAAAGAACTCAACAATACAAAAGTTAAGTTAAAAAGGTGTGTTTTTTTCAATTTATTATTCATTGAATCTTTTCAACTTGACTCATTTTCAATAATTGAGATCATGAGTCAGTTGAAGCTAGACCATCATGAAAAGCCTGGAAGCACTGGATATAGGCAAACTACATCCGTCATGAATTCTTAACTAACGTTCCTTATCATTTATTTTGTTAAAATTATGGTCAATTCATAGTAGAAAATAATATTTAACCTTTTTCTATTATGACAATATGAACAATCCACTAACTGACTCATTCACACTTAACACATAAATAAACTGTGTTGATTTTGCTCATTTCTAGCTTATACTAGTAAACAAAAGATTACAATAAGGTATAGAGACAACCTATAACCCTTGAAAAATTCTATGTAAATATTTAAACATTCATACCCACCCATTTATTAATTAACCTCATGAATATACTTAGGGACTGTTTTGAGTAAAGATTGATGATTCATAATCACCTGGACGCCTTTAATTATTTTATGTTAAGCATGCGTAAAGGTATGCAGTCGAAAAACCATTTACAGTTTATTGTATTTACTTAACGGTGATAAAGTCTATTTATTTCTTGAATTATCATTGTTGACCTACTGGTTTAATTTTGTAATTTATTTATATCTTATGTCTGTAATGAATATGCTATTAATTAGGTTATAAGTTAATTTTAATTAACTTGAGCACTCACGCGCGAGATTGATGGGTCCTGGGTTCGAATCTCGGGAGGTAGGATCGTGGATGCGCACTGCTGAGGAGTCCCACAGTAGGACGAGACGGCCGTCCAGTGCTTCCAAGTTTTCCATGGTGTTCTAGATTCAACTGAATCATGATATTAACTATTAAAATTAAATACCTGTCATACTATTCAATATACGATATTTATGTAGATGTAATATTTAATTTACATTTAAATACTTGACATTAACCCTGAAAGTGCATGTCTATTTCTTAATCTTATCCTTTGACGTTGAATTCGGTGTTTCTACTAATCTACTTCATGATATACTTCCAACTTGAACTCTTGGTTAAATACTATCGGATAAATGGTGAATCAGAATTGTTTAGGTTGTTTGACATTCTGAAAACCTACTGAAATCGTATAAATAATCAGCCGGATATCCTTGACGAAGACAAAATTGCTAACAGTCGCGGTCTTGTAATAATATTATTGATATTGTTGGTGTGCTGTTCTTTTTATTACATGGTTGTATAACAATTTATTTATTTTAACTAGTATCTTGTGTCAAACTTAATTCCTTTACTTTTCATGCTAATTTCAGATATTTTAGTGTAATTATCTCCACTAGCTTCCATTTTGGTATGCTTTTTCGGTTATTATAAATATTAAAGTTTTTATATATTTTACCTCTATTATGATTGATTGATTACTGAGTAGTTACCGATATTATATCTATCTATTCCATCAGTGCTAATTGAATTCTATCAGTAAAGCTGTGCCTTGGCCACTAGATTAAGTGATCCAATATCTCGTAAACAACATTCAGATAACAGTTGGTAAAAAACTCTGAACTTAGGTTTCTTACTAGTTGATACCTATCAGCAAATAAGGGCAGGAAGTTGTAAGGATTCTAACCCTTAGACTAGGAAATATATTGAAACTTTATCGACAAAATCCGATCAGTACTACATACCTGAAAAACATAGTATTCTTTAAACACATTTAAGGTTTAATAGTAGCTCGGATTTTACAGGTATTTGGTTTAGGCATCTGTATTATGTGAATCCGATGCTATATACACTTATAACCTTAAACATTGTTTAAGTAGAATAATATGTGCTGCATTACTATTCAACTCGCAACACGATGTTTCAATCATTCAATACCGTTAGTAATGGCTGTCTATATAGGCAAACTACATCAGTCATGAATTCCTAACGAACGTTCCTTATTATTTACTGCTTGTATTTTTTAAATATTTAGACTGTAAAATTTTATTTCAGCTATCTAAACAAACAACTTGAAAATGTTTGCCAATTCTACTACAAGTAATCACAATCGTATTTACATACATGCTGAATGCAATCTTGACTTCCAGAATAGGTAAATGAGTATCTAACATTTACTGATCTGATGAACAATAAATACTAACCAGAACTAAACATTAATTTTTTTAGTTTCAATGATTACTTATTATAATAAAAGTGACTAGTCAAATATACAATTCAAGTGATAAGAAGATCTAATCAAACTATATGCATATTATCAAAGGAAATACAAGAGATAAACAATTATAGTGCAATATTAAATTGGTTATATGAATCTATGTCTATATAAAAAAAAGAATAATCAACACACGACAGTTGCGTTGACTAAACTATATCTGACATCAATACAAGACAAGAATGTTAAACTACAATGACTCACAAAAGTTGATATTTTTATAAAGCTTTTTACAGAATTGACTTTTCACAAAATAAGTATTACCTAATATACTCATTAAAATACCGTTTAATGTATTCATTTAACTTTGATGTTTTGTATCTATTAAAGACTGGTCTGTTTGACATAGGTTCATTGAATGACATCGGTATATGAGGAGTATCAAATAATGTACTTTTCCAAGTATTGAAGGATTCACTTAAGGATCTACTTAATTATTTTAAATTTCTTGAAATTAATTCACTTATATAAACATTAATTCATTAGATATTTTCCATCTACAGTTTTTGTATTGACCTGATCACTCACTTCTATACTCAAAGACTAGTTGCATTATTTCCGACGTAAGTAAATATACATTTCCTAACTTTTAGTTGGTAGTCGTTATTAGTAGAGTTAGAAAAAAGCAAAAACTGAGATGAATATCTCCGATGACAGTGAATGTTTGCTGCGTTATTTTATAGCTGGTTAAAGTTTACATCTGTAACACTGTTTATTGTTATTAATTAATCAATTCATCATGCAATCTTAGTGTCCTGAACTCAATTCTTGATCGAGGTCTTAGGTGAATACCAGTGAGGATTTAAAGAATTTAACAAAACAACTGCACAGTATGTCATGGTTTCCAGCTGATGTCAACCTGTTAAGGAAAGTACTGTCCCAGAAGTGAATTATTACCCACAATCAGCTGAAATAATATAGAACAGACTTCCATTAAGTCGCTTTCTTCCAGTACATCAAAACATTTGTGTACCACTACTGCTAACTCACTTTTTTTGTTATCTGTATAATAAATAGTAGAAAATTTTTGTACTGAAAGAATTGTGATATAATACTTTTATTTGATCTTTATATGAATTCGTGAACAACAACAGTAGCTATTAAATGATAATTGGAAAATACCAATTTGGATATTTTGTTAATTATGTATGACGTTTTTTGAAAACGTGGAACATTAAACTTCCTGCTGATAGGGTATTGAATAGAACTTGAAGACTTTATGTATTTGCACGAGATAGATTTTGTCAAAAGCATTAGAATTTTCTTGACGTGGTTTGTAGGCACCAGTCTACTACTACGAGTTTGATCTGTCTGTATAAATGACTTGACTTTGGGATATTTAATATATCATGAACAAGAAGAATTAAATTGCATGAAATATGTTTATCATCATTTGAGTTTTTCTCATTATTTAACCACTATAGTCCATAAAACAGAAGCGTACCATTTGTATAATGCTTATTCCATCGTCAGTACTTTTTCACATATTAAGCCATGATCTTGGTCCTTCAGAATAGAAATGAAACTTTGTAATTAATTGAGTCAATTCAGAAAATTTAACACTAAAACTTCAAATATTGGTAACTACGACAGATAATAACCATGTTTCTACATAAAAGCATCATTTAAAATATTGATTTGAATAAGTGAAAAAGCGACCTATATATCATTCTTATAACTTTTAAACAACTAATCAATGATTTCCAGAAAATAGATTTCTATAAATCATAAGAAAACTTGTTCATCATTATTCAATGTTACACAACTATACAGATATACGTTAAGAATATGTTCAATTTTAAATCTGATATTCATTTATTTTTTTTGGCTTAAACAAACAAAAAATGATGATAATGATAAATACATGCATTTTGTACACTTGATAAATGTTTTTCAAAGATGAAAAGCTTCCCCTCTCCTTAAGAAAAATAAGATCACTGATTTGTTGGTAAATAATCAGTTCATCATCATCATCATCATCATCATCATCATCATCATCATCATCATCATCATCATCATCATCATCATCATCATCATCATCATCATCATCATCATCATCATCATCATCATCATCATCATCATCATCATCATCATCATCATCATCATCATCATCATCATCATCATCATCATCATCATCATCATCATCATCATCATCATCATCATCATCATCATCATCATCATCATCATCATCATCATCATCATCATCATCATCATCATCATCATCATCATCATCATCATCATCATCATCATCATCATCATCATCATCATCATCATCATCATCATCATCATCATCATCATCATCATCATCATCATCATCATCATCATCATCATCATCATCATCATCATCATCATCATCATCATCATCATCATCATCATCATCATCATCATCATCATCATCATCATCATCATCATCATCATCATCATCATCATCATCATCATCATCATCATCATCATCATCATCATCATCATCATCATCATCATCATCATCATCATCATCATCATCATCATCATCATCATCATCATCATCATCATCATCATCATCATCATCATCATCATCATCATCATCATCATCATCATCATCATCATCATCATCATCATCATCATCATCATCATCATCATCATCATCATCATCATCATCATCATCATCATCATCATCATCATCATCATCATCATCATCATCATCATCATCATCATCATCATCATCATCATCATCATCATCATCATCATCATCATCATCATCATCATCATCATCATCATCATCATCATCATCATCATCATCATCATCATCATCATCATCATCATCATCATCATCATCATCATCATCATCATCATCATCATCATCATCATCATCATCATCATCATCATCATCATCATCATCATCATCATCATCATCATCATCATCATCATCATCATCATCATCATCATCATCATCATCATCATCATCATCATCATCATCATCATCATCATCATCATCATCATCATCATCATCATCATCATCATCATCATCATCATCATCATCATCATCATCATCATCATCATCATCATCATCATCATCATCATCATCATCATCATCATCATCATCATCATCATCATCATCATCATCATCATCATCATCATCATCATCATCATCATCATCATCATCATCATCATCATCATCATCATCATCATCATCATCATCATCATCATCATCATCATCATCATCATCATCATCATCATCATCATCATCATCATCATCATCATCATCATCATCATCATCATCATCATCATCATCATCATCATCATCATCATCATCATCATCATCATCATCATCATCATCATCATCATCATCATCATCATCATCATCATCATCATCATCATCATCATCATCATCATCATCATCATCATCATCATCATCATCATCATCATCATCATCATCATCATCATCATCATCATCATCATCATCATCATCATCATCATCATCATCATCATCATCATCATCATCATCATCATCATCATCATCATCATCATCATCATCATCATCATCATCATCATCATCATCATCATCATCATCATCATCATCATCATCATCATCATCATCATCATCATCATCATCATCATCATCATCATCATCATCATCATCATCATCATCATCATCATCATCATCATCATCATCATCATCATCATCATCATCATCATCATCATCATCATCATCATCATCATCATCATCATCATCATCATCATCATCATCATCATCATCATCATCATCATCATCATCATCATCATCATCATCATCATCATCATCATCATCATCATCATCATCATCATCATCATCATCATCATCATCATCATCATCATCATCATCATCATCATCATCATCATCATCATCATCATCATCATCATCATCATCATCATCATCATCATCATCATCATCATCATCATCATCATCATCATCATCATCATCATCATCATCATCATCATCATCATCATCATCATCATCATCATCATCATCATCATCATCATCATCATCATCATCATCATCATCATCATCATCATCATCATCATCATCATCATCATCATCATCATCATCATCATCATCATCATCATCATCATCATCATCATCATCATCATCATCATCATCATCATCATCATCATCATCATCATCATCATCATCATCATCATCATCATCATCATCATCATCATCATCATCATCATCATCATCATCATCATCATCATCATCATCATCATCATCATCATCATCATCATCATCATCATCATCATCATCATCATCATCATCATCATCATCATCATCATCATCATCATCATCATCATCATCATCATCATCATCATCATCATCATCATCATCATCATCATCATCATCATCATCATCATCATCATCATCATCATCATCATCATCATCATCATCATCATCATCATCATCATCATCATCATCATCATCATCATCATCATCATCATCATCATCATCATCATCATCATCATCATCATCATCATCATCATCATCATCATCATCATCATCATCATCATCATCATCATCATCATCATCATCATCATCATCATCATCATCATCATCATCATCATCATCATCATCATCATCATCATCATCATCATCATCATCATCATCATCATCATCATCATCATCATCATCATCATATTCAGTAGTTGTGATTTGTGTTATTATCTTACGAGAAATACTGGATAGGACATTTAGTAAAATAATTTTAAAAATGTTAAGAAATGCAGAAAAAAATAGGAAAAAGTATCCAAAAACGTGAAAAATAAACAAACAATCGACATTGAAAGCATATGAGAATAAATCTGGATTTTCAATGATTGTCTAATGTAAGTTGATTTGTGATATTGATAATAATTAACAATGTCCATCAATGGAATAACAACAACTACAATGTTTGATCAGCTTTTCTTTTCTTTCTACACTTTCTTTTTTTTAAAAAACAAGACTTATTTCAACAATCTTGATTGAACGGAAGATCAGTTAATCTTTAATTTAGTAGCAGAAGTAATACTGATAACACTATTTATGATACTAATAAGTAAACAACAAATAATTTTGACAAATATGTTAGTTTGTAAACTCCCATAAGTACCCAAGTGATTATTCCAATAGGATTAACGTTCAGAATGAATAATTTTATTTGATAAAACAACTGATCATAAGATAATAGTTAAGAAAATTAACTGATCATCTAAATATGTGATCATAATTCCTGATTAACTAAGTTTGATTCTCATCAGTTGTTAAAATATTTGGTTACTTGAGTAGTTAAATTATATTGATTCAACTTAAAATCATGGTACAACCTCGTACAGTTTCCGTTATTTATAAATATAATCAAGGCGAATAAAATGAATAAATAAGATGTGAATTCATTGTTGAATAAGTCCTCTTCGTTTGATTACAGTCTGAAAACAATAATAACACTTATTTTAAAACAGATGTAAATACATAACTTCATAATGTTAGAAAGTTCAGCCACCAGAAGAAAGAGAAAGGGAGATGGTAAGCAAAAATGACACTTGTCCTCACTTGGAATTCACCTGTCATCTGTCCTCTATGTACTACTTCGCACTGTAGTCCTTCGTACGAATTCCGGATGGTGTTGACGATTTTATCAGCTAATCACTCCATAGTGTTGAAGAGGATTCCATGAGGTTCTGCCAACGCTATCAAACACCATCTCATAATCAAGGAAGTTGATGTATGGTGACAAGTTGTTCAGCTATGATCCGTAGTGTTGAAATTTGGTTTGTGCACTACCCATCCTTACGAAATCCGACCTGTTGATCTCAAAGTTGGGCGTCTACTGAGTCTTTCATCATGTTCAGCAACACTCTGTCAAAACCTTTTCCTGATACTGATAATAGTATGATGCCTCTGTTGTTTTCGCACTTGCTGAGATCTGCTTTGTTTTGTACGTTAGTGAGAAATCTATATTTTCATTCTGTCAAAGTTTGTTCTTTTTCCTAAGTCTTTCCGAATAGAACGTGGAGCATAATTGTAGTTACTTCTATGTTTGACTTCAGTTCTTCAGCCGGTATATTGTCAGGTCCTGCTGCTTTCCCACTTTTTGATTTTTTTGATGGCCATCCTGACTTCGTCAGTCGTTGGTGAAATGACATCTATAGGAAGGTTTGTGTGTGCTGCTTCGATGTCTGGTGGATTCAATGGAACTGGCCTATTCAAGAGTTACAAAAAGTGTTCTATCCATCTGTTCCTCTGTTCTTGAATCTCAGTGATTGGTTTGCCTTCTTGTTTTTGACTAATTGCTTTGGTCTACTATATTTCTCTGCTAGTTTCTTCGTCGTGCCATATGGTTGTTTCGTATTTCCTTCCTTTGCACTTCTTTCCGTTGTCGTCGATAGGTCTTCTATGTATTTCCACTTGCTAGCTTTAATGCTCTTCTCCAGTAGCTTGTCTGCTTCTATGTATTCAGATTTGTGACTTGACATACTCTGCTCGTGTTCGACTGTCATTAAATGATGTCTTCTTGTTCGTCCGTTTTTGGGTCATTTTTAGGGTTTCGATAGAAATCCATTGCTTCCGATGATGCTTCTTGAGGCCCAGAACCTCCTGACACGTTGAAGTTAGTGCTTCTTTATTCCCATTCCATTTGTCCTCCATAGCAGTTTCTTCCTCTTTCAGTAGATCCTGTAGATCTTGGAGCCTGTTGTTGAGTTATCTTGAATTCGTTGAGTTTGTCAGTATGTGTAAGGAAGGCTATATTGAACCTTTTGAATGCTGTTTCTTTAATCGTCCGGTGCTTCTTCAGCTTCAATTTCATCTCGGCAACCACAAGGTGGTGATGATCTGAAGCTATGTTACCTCCTCTCCTTGTTCTCACATCATCTATTGTCCTTCTGAATTTCCTAGTGATACAAATATGGTCGATCTGGTTCTCCGTGGAGTGATCCGGTTAGAGGTATGTAGCATTGTTTATGCGTTTGTGGGAGAATATTATGACAACTATAGCTATTTTGTTGAGTGAACATAAGTTCACGAATCTCTAACCATTTTCGGTCACTTCTCTTAATCCACGTCATCCCATGGCATCTTCATAACCAGTGTTGTCCACTCCCACTTTGGTGTTTAGTTCTCCCATCAGGATAGTCGAGTCTTTTCCTGCTCAATTCCCTACGATCTACTGCAGCCTCTTGTAAAACTGATATTTATCCTCTTGACTGCTATCGTTGGTGAGTGCACAGCAGCGGAAACAATAATTGCAATCTCCTTCTTCCCTATTTGAGTAATTCTTTGATGATTTGGATCCAAGAAATTTTCGTCCCATATGTGCTTTTCTGGCCCCTTTGTACAGCAATAAAACAACTTCCTGAGTGTGTAAAGCACTTTATTCCAATGAGTAATACTTATTCCGAGCACCTCAATTTGTATCTTCTCGTTTTCTTAATCAGTTGATTAGCCCTCCCGGTCTTCATCATTGGGTTAGAATTTGATAAACTACATTACCAACTGCGGTGGATTTATCTTAAATAGCAACGATCGTTTATCTCCATCAACGAAGACTAACCCACTCTTAATACTCCTAAACCTCAACATTCATGAATTTCCACAATAATTTCGAGCATTCATTCCAAAAACATTTGAATAATCAATTCACTTTCCATTGTAAATGCTGATAACCTAGTTTTTCCCATTTTTTTTCAAATGTAAATTAAATAAAATATGTTTGTATAAATAAAGTTTTCATTGGATCCATTCAATATATTTAATAGACAAATACATAATTTATATTGCCCATAATGTTTACTTTAAAACTAAGCTGATGAAAATGATCATTATAATATTGTTGATAAGTAACATAATAAAAGTTGAAAATTTCTTTCTTGTCCACCTTTTTTTTCTCCTATCTTTTCAATTACAGAATTGGCGTCCAAAAGACAATTTCTAATCTTAACGTATATATTCCCATAACTAGTATAATCCAGTTTTGTTTACTTAAATAAGTAAATCATAAAATCATATTCAACTATGATTTTCAATTAAATTGACATTAGAATTAATCATGTACAAAAACAACTACCTAATACATCATTGAATATAATTACAATATTCATTAATATACAAGCTAATGTTACGTTTATTATGTACAAATGTAAACATTTATAATCAAATCTAATGATTTTTCCCCCTATTTTTCTATATTTCATATACTATTAAAGAGATTTGAGTATAAACATTTGTTCATTTCCATTATTGATTGATCACTGAATAATGACTAATGTCATGTATGTCAAGTTCATCTTAATGCTAGTCGAATTCTGTTGATCAAGTTACAATGTGAACACTAGTCTAATTGACTCGAAATCACGTGCACTAAGTTGAGATTCAAGGTATTGGTTGAAGGTAGTTTACAGGAAACTCTAGACCTAGCTATTGTGCTATTGGACACCTCTTAGCAAGGTTTATCTTTATTAATGAGAAAAATGATACTCTCTGGCAGCCCATATAGCTAAGTGGTAACGTTTCTGATTGTGAAGCTGTTGACAAAAGATATAATCCGCCGTGGAGAATCAGTTTACTCAAGATTACAGGTATATCTGGCTGACAGGTATCAAATACCACGAAGCCTATGCCCAGGGTTTCCTGCGAACTAGCTTCATACACCGCCTCACGTTTGTTCACTTTAGCAGAGGATTACATCCCATTGTAATGTTTAATTTTTGACGGTTGACTTGCACACATAGATTTAATTATTTGATAGTTAAGATTACCGGTAAAATCCTGAATTAAAAACGTAATACCCATGAAGGGTATTTCACATATTCGAAGGAGCGACATCCTCGATAATGACTTTTATCTCTGCAGAATAAACTAAAAGAACTTCCCAATTTTCTGACACAAGTACATACTCAAGGATGAGTCAATATGGTAAAAAACATTTTAGGGTAGATGTTAGAAAAAACGTAATTAATTGTATTTGAACAATATGACAACCTCAAAAAATGTTAATTGGAAAAGAATAAGATGAAAGTTCAATGAAGGTAAGTGGTTTACAAAACGTTTTAAGTTAACTAACATCACCAGGTAATACACTGTAAATAATTTAGTATTGAGTGGCTATTTACTCAAAATAGTCTTCTTCACTAACGCTAATACTATAACTACTTTAATCCTTTTACTGCTAATTATGTTACTTTGACGTCATTGCTCCAAATGGAGGCACATTTATTTCAGGTTCTACTTTACTTATGACTAACTAGTTCTAATTTCTGCCAGCTCATGATTTAGCAAGAAATCACCCAATGCAACCAGTTGATAACCATCTCACCTCCCTTCTTAGGCAAACGTCACTCCCCATGACCTCTCACTGAAACTCCATGCGTTCATTTTAATGTACGTCACCAGTAAGGATGTGATTTTTATCAAAGTAAGAAATTTTAGAACATTGGTTCAACTTCAGAATAGTTTTCACTATAGACAGTTCAATAGTATCTGGTTTTTCAATAATTCTTTGTCTAATATCGCTTTGTGATAAAATCTACTGGCTAAAATCTGACTACTGAACAGATAGAGAAGCTCTAAAGTTTCTTAATTTCTTCCACACTTTTTCACTAATTATATAAATATATAAACGCAGAATATTTTTTCTAATTAATTCTCATCAAATCCTATGAGTCTAAGCTAATAATCAAACGAAATATCTAAGTTTAAAGCAAATACAAACCCAATAGATATAATCATTTTTATTATAAGGTCACATAACCCACCTAATCTACATACTCGCTTTCTACTTTT